TCTCCTGAGCCTTTTTTGGTCAATTATGCACAATGGCATAAGCATGTCAGTTATCATCCATTTTTTCATTACTAGCTATATTTTTCTAACTCTTTTCCACCACAGAAGTTGCTTCCATGGCAACACATTCTCCACCGTTCATTCCTTGGGAGTGACCGCACATTGTGAGGGAAAGACAATTGAAGGGGGCAGCCCACATCTGTCCCCTATTYGCGCTTAGGAGAGTGCGCCCTAATTGGCCAACTACTTTGCCAACTATTTCAACATTACAAAATATTTGCATCTCTGACCAGTCAAGAGTAATATATACAATCTAAGAGAAGAAACAGCAGGTGACATGTTGAAATGGTCTTAGCACTGTTCTTTTAAGAGATATGCCAAAATGGTATTTGATCATAGAATCACTGTTTTTATATCACTGAATATTATGTATTGGGGAAATATCATAAGTTACAGCTGTTTATTTCTGGAAAGGTTTGTTTTTTTTTTTTTCCCTTGGGGATATATTTATTTTTTTTTAAATTCCCTGTTTGTGAGCTCTCTATTTCTCTCCTCCTCCCAGCAACTTTTTGATTCAATGAATAATCCCAACCAATCTTTTTAATAGAAGGTTCAAGTTTCCCCTGAAATTTTCATTACAGTCAAGTTTTACATCCAGTTAAAGAAAAATATTCCTTGCAAGTTTCCTTTACACATAAATTAAAAAAAGAGCCGACCTTTACTGAAAAGGCAGAAAACCCAATATGGGGGAATCCTCTGATCTGGGAGAATTTTTCATTGTTTATTTGCTTTGATTCCTGATTGGAAAGGGAGGTGGCAAAGGCATGTAAATTATACACACATTCTGTTAATTTAATGAGTTAATTTTTCTTTTAACTAAACAATGCTTATATGAGAGGCTTTTTTAAAAGCAACTAGTCTGGCAGTGCTCACTTACCAATGCGTAGGCACGTACGACTGAACACATCATCTAAACCTCTGGATGATGAAGAAAACTGTGTGTTTAAGAAAATTAAGGCCAAGCATGTCCAAGAGGCTCTTCAACTGGAAGCCTGAAAGACGGATTGCCGCAGCATGCTTAGGAGACTGATCCCTCAACCCCTGCCATGCCAGAGCCATTATCACCCCAAAGGGGATAATAACTGTCATGCCTGGTCTCAAGCGTGAGTACGTTTGTTAGTGCACTGGCTGATACAGAAAATAAGGTCTAGCATAAGAGATGTTTCATATCTAAATGTGCTAATGAATCAAAGCGACAGGAGAGAGTTTTAACCATCACAGAGCAAATTAGTTAGCAAATTAGTTGTTTGCAAATTAGTTGTTTGCAAATTAGTTGTTTGCAAATTAGTTGTTTGCAAATTAGTTGTTTGCTAACTGGTCAAGAAAGAAGAAGATATAACAGTCTAACAACGATGTGTTTTTTCCATCTGAAGGAGTAAAAGAAAGCTTTTACCAGCTCAGAAAAATAACTTCACCATCTTCTGCATAAGGATGAAATATGCTAAGTTTCAGGCTGAAAGATAAAATATTTACAGGTGGGCAGACAGTATGGAAGCCAACAAAACTGGGGAATGGCAGCAAGAGCCAACCAGTCCCACCCAAAGGAGAGCTTTGGTGAATGAACCTGGTGTCGTGATCTATGAGCTCTTGAGTTGAAGCTCCAACAAAGACTGCTCTAAATATAAACCCAAGGGTAAAAAGGAAGTACAAAGACTGAAATTGAGCCTTGCAGCAGTTGAACAGGTTAAGGGCAATGTTTCACAGTCTAGACCTCTGCTGTACACGTTGCACTGGATATTCGAAACAGTGGATATAGGCAAATTTCTAACAAGATWTCAAAGTATTCCCAGATATTATCATAACAGTGAATAATATTCAATTTTATTAAAAACAGATTCATGTTCAAAATAGCATTGTTTTAAGCTCACATTCCCTTTCACACAAAAAAAGTTATTTTCCAATACCTGCTACTTTAGTTTTTCATTTAACACATTCACTACCTTCTTGTTCTTCTCATTTCTCTAGACACCTTTGCTTTTTTTTTTTTTTTTTTTTTTTTTTTTCTCCTTTTTTTTTTTTTTTTTCCCTTAAAGAACAAAACTTTCTCCTAGCCTTTGAAAGACTTCACTTGTGTATTTCAAATACAGGTAGGTTTACTGTTCTATATTTTCCCATCTTAGTTGCCTGCCTAGATTCAAATCCTAGTCAGGATTTGACCAAGGACATAGAAATCAATTCTGCTACACACGTGCAGTGAACCTGACCTACCTGGGAAGCCGAGGCACAACAGTGCATGCAGCACATCAGCGCCCTGCAGCAATTACACAGTGAGAATCGGTGACTTGTAAACAGGCATTGAGCCCAGCACCTCCTGAGCGCAGGACACACAGGAGACCTTTAAGTCCCAGAGGCAGACCTGCTGCTTACATTTCTGCTTAGGGAATTCTAGTCAAAACACGGCAAGACTAAATGTAAAACTTTCCCTTTGTGTGAGGTAGAGAGGCACATTCATACCTTCCACATAAGGATAAAAACAATACTTTTAAAAGCAACTGTAAGAGATTTAGATTTCTTTCATGTTTTTCTCTTCTTGAAATATTGTCCTTGCCATCTAATATTCAGAACACACTTCAGATTAGAAGAAATTACATCACTTGATATCTTTAAAACTAGTCCAAAAATTAGTAATAAACATCAGGAACTAAATCCTGCTTTACAAAGCTTATGGGATGAGTAAGCCTTCTTCCCTCAGGAAAGCAGACAATAGCAATTATGTGATTCCACAAATTCCGGGCACTTCTTCCAGCCCTTGATTTCCTATTCATCCAACACTACACACATTATGATACTCACAGACATTCTTAATACCTCAGACAAGTCAATACTGTCCTCTCTACAACCATATTGTCTTTTAGAAAGATTATACAGTATGTGTGTGAAAGAATTAAGAAAYTGAATGATTATGCAGTTGAAGTTCACATCAGTGTCATTTGGCTAATTCCCTTTTAAAGGTATAGTTAAAGAATTTGAGCTTTTAGATTTGTTAAGATTATAATGTAGCAAAAAGACTAAAACAGTAACAAATACAATAAAAATATAATTTGGAATATTTTAGTACAGTGTAGATGCATGTGCAAGCAAAACAATGTGAGGCCTGTAAAAAGAGAAGAAAAGCCTAGCTCTGGAATGCAGTTTGTGCCATATGAGAAATAATGATTTCATTTTAGCAAATGCTGAGAAATCCTAAAGCATCACCAGTCCAGCAGTAGCTTCAAAAGACCCTATAAACAGCAATGGAGAAGACCTAGATAAAAGAACGCATGTTTAAGAATTGAACCCCTTCTCCCTGCAATGACATTATGTTCCTGAAACAGCTCTGCTGCATGAATCAGGAGCAAAATGAAGTAACAATTACTTAGGTATTTTCTGCTAACCAAAACCACACTTCTCAGGCTTCAAGGGCTCCTCTGTCCCCAAGACATCCACTCTGCTAAGGCTAGGCCATAAGTTATTGATGTTGACGGAGGAGGGGGAGCATTTCCATCCGTCTCCGTGATGGGCAGTGCTGGTTTATTGGCAAATGGCCAATCCCCAACACCTCTGCAGAGGGAACGCGCTCTGAAATCTTGACCTGGACAAGCAGAGTAACTGCTGGGGGAACTGCTGCCTGCAATCCTGCCTCAGTAACGAATTTGTTAATGATAATCATCTCGCTCAGACCAACCTTCCATTGTGGTTTACGTGCGGGGGGGATTTCGGCATTATCTACACTAATAAAACATTAATCAAGGGCCAAATTTACAGCAGGCACTTTATAAGTGAGGTCAAGACAGGTCAGCCTTGCATAATTGCAAACAACTACAGGCTAGATCTTAACATTGTAACTGAACACCCTTGTTACTTTACCTTGGCCCTGGGGATAAAGACTAGTAGCAGAATGTTTTTTTCTGCCTTAGGATCGTGTTTCCCCTACTATAAACCCCAATACTACCATAAACCCCAATACAACCATTAAAATGGTCATATCTTGACAATATCTATATATTTTAGAAGAAAAAATCTCACATAGCTATTCCTTGCACTCCTAAAATGTTAAAAATGATATTTATGCAGTATTTTATTTTATGTGATATATATCGGTAATGCTCTTGAAAGAAAAAATCTTCCATTTTTCATTCAGTAACTATCCTAATCCTGTAAAATTGATTTTCTTTAGAGATGCTTACTAGCTTAACTAACTTACTAACTGAATTTAGGTTCACAAAATGGCTTTTCTTATAATGCTCCTTAGCTAACTCATTGAGACATCTTCAAAAAATCCTTTAGGAAAAGTAAATATTGCTCTTAGTCTGACTCAACAATCGATTCCTAATGAAGAAAATATTGATGGTTCTGAGTAGCCACTGCAAGTCAAAGAGCACGGCCTCATCAGCTGCTCTGTCATTTTCTCTAAGACCCAGTGAAAAAGAAAAAAGAAATCTGCATATCATTATTGATAGAACATTTAACTGAATTGGTAATGCTATCAGAATTTTTACTATCTTAAAACAGAATGAAAGAGCTTTATTTTAATGAGGTAAATATAAAATAAATCAGTAAACTAGAACCTGATTTTTGAGACAAAGGCTTATCTTCCAATTCCTGGTTAAAATGCCTTCTAAATATCAATTCTCCTCCTCAAGAGATTAGTTGAACACAAATTATAGTATCAATGTTAACCAGTGCACAAGGACAGGAAAAAAGAAAATCCATGACATGCTCATATGTGAAACATTTAATTGCACTAAAGGGCACCTAGATTAAGAGAAATGCCATAATTAAACAAAAAAGCATCAGAGAAGGTAAATTGCAGCTCGTGCAGCTCAAAGGACTTGGCACACACACAGAAACAGCAACGCACCCATACTACATTAAGCATTAACAATATAAGAAAAATATTTTTAAAAAAAGACACACATCTTAGAGGTAGGACGGAGAAGAAATCAAATACTTTGACTTACCTTCCCTCATTGACCAGCTCAATAAAGGCAAGGCCAGCATTCTTTTGTATGGAGTTCTGCCACTCCTGGAAGAAAGTAAGAAAGAAAGAAAGAAAGAGGGGAAAAAAAAAGTTATATAAAATGAAGAAAAACAAGGGAAAAAAATACTGCTAGCTACCAAGCTAAGCATTTTCTTTTCAATTCTGGCAGCTTACACCACCTCAAAGAAAACTATAAAGCACCATTGGCTGATTGGAAAGAAAGCAGTGTCAGCATGAAGAAACAAAACAGTATCATTCACTCAAACTTACATTTATTTTTTGTAAGGGAGAAGAAAATAGAAAAACATTTCACAAAATGACCACGTCTTTTTCCTTTACTACGTCATGCACTAATTCCGAAATTACTCTGATTCAGAGAAGCACTTTGCCTTAATAAACCTTGGAAAAGCTTGAAGTAACTCTTCCATATTCATGTAAATCTACTTTAGATACAGATTTGTTCTAGGGSAGGGAAAGCAGGGAGACAGCTCAAAGGTTTATTCTGCATATATACTGGTAATCTTCTCCAGCATGACACAGCCACCTCTTCTCCAAAAACCTGCTTGATCACGGCAACCCTGGAACACTRCCAATCCAGGTGATCTATCACTGAGGTCTGTTTCCCCCTTTGTAAGCTCAGGAGAAAGGACTGTGGGCCAGCAAAACACAATTAAGATTTCTAATCTCCACTCAGTATAGAAAAAAGTTATTAGAGTGAAAAATTAGAGCAGCACAGAACATTGCATTTTGGAAGAAAAGTAGGGCAACTTGGACAGATCAGACCAAATACAACTTTTAGCTTTAATCAGGGCTAACCATTTTGGTTTTCCTTCTAYAATAACTAAAGTATCTTTCTCAATAAAAAGCTATTTTAAAAAGCTTTCCATCTTAGACAGCTGCCTTACTTTTGTATACTTTTRAAAAAATAATCCCAGTGGTCATTCATATCAGTACCTCTATCAATATGGTTCTTAAAACCTTGCCAGCTCCAAAACAGGCAAAGAAATACAAACCAGCAAGTATTTCCTAAAACCACTCTAGATTTCTGAATGCAGGAGTTTTTATTTCCTTTATCAAGAAAGCAGGTTCTTTGCTATTCAGTTTTGCTAACTGTGTTACCTTCCACAGTCAGTGTGCTAGCATGCACATAAAACTCAACAGTACAGTTTTTTTTTTTNTCTGATCTCTTAAGGTTTAAAATGTTCCAGGCCCAACATCCTTTTAGTACTTTTAAGCTTCAACAATGTATTACAATTGTGAAGCAGTTAGAATTGTGTTACCTTCCACAGTCAGTGTGCTAGCATGCACATAAAACTCAACAGTAGTTTTTTTTTTTTCTTTTTTTTTTTTTCTTTAAATGATGTAGTTCCCTCCCCAAAATATTTCCAAGTTTTGCATACAGGTAACAGATTACAATTCTGATCTCTTAAGGTTTAAAATGTTCCAGGCCCAACATCCTTTTAGTACTTTTAAGCTTCAACAATGTATTACAATTGTGAAGCAGTTAGAATTATGAGTAGGCTAATTCGAATTTGTGATGTATATTTCCTCATGAATTATAAATACATTTCATTACATTTTATATATCTAGTCTATAGTGCATTATTAGGCAAGCAACATTCTGAACATGTTAGCTATTTTCCATTCACATATTTTTTTTTTCCACGTATGACTTTTTTTCTTTTTTCCCCCCTTCTGAGGTCACAATGATCACAGCCTCTCCTCATGACATGCTCCTGTTACCTGTTTTTTCCCCACCACCCTTCCTCCATCTCTCCCCAAGTGCTTTCTTATTGCCACCACTACTAAATTAGTCTGTAAAGAGGCCAAAATAGTATTAAGCAGCATTTATTTTTATTAGAAAATACCTTTTGCATCCTAATATTCTAACCAAAATAACCAACTCAAATAATACTCAAAATTGTATTTCAATGTAAATCTAGTTGTAAATATTTAACTTAATAAAGATAATTCTCTAAGCTTATGTGTGTGAAAACTCAAGAAAAGCAAAAATAATTTTCTTCTATTTATGACATCTTCCATCTGTTGCTCTGTATCAGTAATGTATCTGTCTGCTCTTGAACGGAACTCACTACAACACTTGAAAATTTAATTGGTGAAGATGGAGATTGCCAAGAGTGAAAAGAAAGTGCATTTATCATGATACTTTTCAGCATATTTCTCTACATCACAGACATTATCAAAGAAGGTGTTAGTCTAAACAATTTCATAAATCACAGCTGAACACACCCTAAAGCTAGTTTTAACAGCTGAAAGAAAAAAAACCCTAATAGTCACCATCTTTCATGGTCCATTCAATATTTCCCCACAGTATATGCTGCCTCTCAAGCAACTGCACTCAGTATGCATATTGCATTATTATATCAACATCTTAGTTATCCATCTCCCTGAGGTATTAAGGAAAAACATGTTAAAAGCCTCAAACTGAACCACTAATGCAACTAAATAACTACAAGACACACTGCAGCACTTTCCCAAGGAAGGACTGTAAGGAAAGATCAACATAAAGTCAATTACTTYATACATGTTATAAGTTGTACTTAATTGACCATTGTTTCCTATGCATGTAAATATTTCGCATGTGAGAGAGAATCTCCTTCTAATGCTTTTGGTCAATGTATAGTGCACAGTGAAATGGGAAAAATGAGAAGCACTAAACACAATCACAAGCAGCTACATTCAAATATAAACACTGCAAGGAGACAAAGATGAAATCCCCAATCCCATTATGTTCAAATACTTTGACAGAAATAGAAATTTCTTARCTCATTATTAGTTCATCTGCTCATTAATGGAATCTGCAAACCTTTTCAAAAACACTCTAGATACAATGCAAGTCCTATATCCTTTCCTGAAATGGTGTTTTAAGTCTGATCTGAATTATAGTTTGAGCAACACATTGCATTTCCCATAGCTTTAGCACAAAGAACTTTTGTATCTACACACACGTATATAYATGTGTACATATATATAGAAAAACTAATAGAATCCTGGATAGTACCCACTTTACATCAGTAGTAAGTTTTATTAACACTCTCATTGAATACTCCAAGATCATTAAAGGAAATATTACTGCCATAAAACCACACTTCAAAAAACTAATAATCTTCCTCCAGCTTTATATTATGACCTAGTGTTGCACTATTTGAGATTTTTTTWAAAAAACTATTTTACAATTTGTTTTTTTTTCTGATTCATCTCAACTAATGATCAGTCATATGACAGTACCAAATGCTGCACAGAAATTCATACAAATTACTACCACATTTCCTTTGTCTGGGAAATAAATCTTGGCCAAAGAAAGCAACCAAATTAGTCTAGCAAAACAATCCCCAATAATTGTATTCTATTTTACCTACATCTGCATGAATACTTCAATTTTTAAATATATTTAAAAGGATTTCATACTATAGAGATCRACTTATATGGCATAAATTGATTCCTATTTTTCCTTTCTTAAAAATAAGCTASATCTCTTATATGGCATCATTACATGAGTTTTTAAAAAAATTCCATATTGACCTCTGCATTTTCAGGTGTCAAAATCATCACTTGTTTCTTCCATTTCTTGTCGAGTCCCTATTTATTCCTAACACCCTGGTTCAGATGCAATCCTTACCCAGAACTAGCCTGAAAATCTCTTMTACAAGGAGCAGCTGGTAGGAGCCAGCTTCAAAATGCACAAGTGGTGCTGGTTCTTCAGCCAGTGGACTGTACACCAGGAGCTCCACACACCAAAGGATGTTGTGATGAGCAGAGTTCAACAGAATCAAGAGAGGACTGSGCAAGAGTCCACAAAAGGCAAATTTACTGTTATTTACTCAAATACAGAAACTACATCCATTTCACCTCAACCTGAAAACAACTGGATGGAGGAACATCACATATGCTTGTCCTATTCTACTTGTGCTTCGCTATGTCTGAAGTTAAAGACAGGAGAGGTTGTCTCTATCACCCAGAAGAGCCACTCTTGAACCCTAATCACTCAAATGCCTCAAAACTCAAACAAATGCCAGGAAAATTTGTTTGACAAATTTTTCTCGGTTTGGGGTTAGAAGTGCTTGCATGTATGTGAACTGTATGCACATATCTATCTTTCTACTTTAAGGAAAGAAATCTAATCATATTTCAAAAAGTGCTTTAAAAATAGATGAAGACTGCTCTATTTTAAACTAGAAAACTGTAATGCCAATTTCATTCATAGATCTCATAAGGCTATATACACACATACATAAACATACCCTTTACTTAATTCACCCTATAAAATCATTAGAAATCTTACCAAGGTAAACATATTCCAAAACTAAAGAATGAGAGCTAATATTTAAAATTCACATAAGTAAGTCGGGGGGTGGGGGGGGGAGAGAGAAAGAGAGAGAGAGAGAGAGAGAGAGAGAGAGACACCCAGACAGACAGACAGACAGACACCTCTTTGCAAATTCTTTGCTAATCCATCCTTCTCATAAAGCTTGTGGAATTTCAGTAATTTATTTTGATTATGAAATAAATGAGCAGGATGACTTCTGTACTCACAACTAGGAATAGAACACTAAGAAGCAGGACAGGAAAATGTGTGAACATGTGACTAAGAGACATATTATATACTAGATTAAAGGTCAAATCTGCATGAAAAAAAAACTTGCTCATAGAGAGATATACTAATCTTTAAGTGCCTAAAGTAAACTATCAAGAACATTTCAGCAACGTTTGCACTTGGTGTCACCACTCTCTCAGCACCACATCTACTACAGGCTTGAACAAATGCAGCAATAAAGAACTTTAGCTAAAAGTAGATCATCTCAGGTATTTTTTTTTTTTTAAAAAAAAGCTCCAGGTTAAGCAGAATATCTGCAAACAGAAATAATTTTCAGAGAGTTGAAGCACACTATAATTATGTTAAAATACAGAGTTTCATTGAAAAATGTGAGAAACCTGAAATGRAATTATAGAAAATCATGCATAGTAATTCCCTGCTCTGTTTTAATATAAAAATAGCATACAATAAGTAATGCACAAAAAACCAA